AACATCCTAAGCTAAAATGGCTCACTGTGTCACAAGAACACAGGGAGATAGGATGCTGGGCTAAATAGACTTTGAACTAATCCAGCCTGAGTTCTGTTATGTCCATTTTACTTTTAAAATGCAATCACCTTTGGGGAGATGTCAAATGACCTATAGTACAATATTTTACCCCTCTTGTTGAGCATTTTGTCAGAATCTGTTGAACATGTAGATTGTTTTCTTAAACATTCTATTTTTTGGAAAGCATGTTATTGATGTTTATTTGTACATTGCTTTTAGGGCAAAAAGCTGGTTATATCTGTATGTTTTGCAGAAAGATATATCACTTCAGTTCAGCTTTCTCAAATGTCCATGACTTTTTCTATTCTTATTTTTATTCCTCCTTTCTGCCCTTAGGTATACAAATATATGCACATACTGCAGGTGAACCGAAACAGCAAAGGTAAGAAAAATATTGCATCGCTTTTTTAGAAGTGCATCTGTATCTTAACAGCTTTATGGCCTGTTTGCTTTATGTTTTCTACTTCTGTTTTCTACTTCTGTTATATATTTTATTAAAAAGTTGGGATGATGGATCTTGTCTGACCCCCACCTCATATTTTTCTAGAAATAATAGCAAGGAATATTCTCCCTGGCTCACTCCATTTGGATAAATGCATTAGGAAACAAGTCTCAGATTTTCCCAGAAGGAACTATTATAGGCTGTTTCTCCACTGCAAGGGAAATAATCAGCTGCATCTTTGGGTAGTGATGGTCAAGACCTGTCACTGCTCTGGGTCTCCCTTTATTTCTTTTCCCCGACCCAACCCAGAGCTCTAAGATTGGGAGGTAAGATCCAGTTGCCATTTCCACATTGTTCCTCATTCAGTACAGTTGCAGGGATAGTGGAAATTTCTGTGGTAGTTAGATCTTTTATTTTATGTTGTTTAGAGCAGGGTTCCTGAACCTTGGCAACTTTAAGACGGGTGGACTTCAACTCCCAGAAGGCTGGAGAATTCTGGGAGTTGAAGTCCACCCGTCTTAAAGTTGCCACGGTTGAGGAACCCTGGTTTAGAGTATTGTCCTCTACAGTTACAGTGATGCAAGCCTAGCAAGGCTGTTTGACCAAAGGAATTGATAATAAAGGTAAAAACACCCACAACATTCTCAGCAACAATACAGAAGTGGTTTGCCTTCCATGATTTGTTCCAATTTCCCAGCCTAACTTACAACCCTGGTAGTTCCTTGTCTCCCACTCAAGTGCTAGCCAGGTCTGATCCTACTTAGCTCCCACTTCCTCCCATAAAATTAGCACTGACATTTCATATGGTTTTTAAAGGAGGACTTTCTCTGAAATCTCTTTTGATCCAGCTTCTGCCTAAAACAGGTAGTTGGAGAATAATCTCACTTTAGTTCAGAACAGAGTGTAGGGAGCATTACCTGTTTTCCTCCCAACATGTATTTTTGTATTTGCTAGATTGTGGTTGGATTATTATTATTTATTAAATTTATACACCACCTGACTCCCAGTGACTCTGGGCAGTTTACAAATGATTTAAAACATTTAAATTTTAATGTCATGAAAACATGACAATAAAACAAGAAGAAACAAAAAAGGATAGAGATGGCAGAATAACAAACTGGATGGAAACAAAAAAAAACCAAGCTAAGTTAAAAGGAGACTTCAGTCATCCCCACCAAAGGCCTCAGTAAAGAGCCAGGTTTTCAGGCCCCTTCAAAACACCAGCAGAATGGGAGCTGTTTGGAAGTTGGGGGTGGGGGGAACTCATTCCAGAGGGCAAGTGTTGCGACAGAAGAGGCGTGCTTCCAGGGTCCCGATAGATGGCATAGCTTAATTAAAGAAACCCAGATTGTGCCAACCCTGCCAGATCTAATTAGCCAGGCAGATACTATGGTAGATAGGCAGTCCCTCAAGTAACCAGGCCTTATGCCATGTAGGGCTTCATAGGTGACAACCAGCACCTTGAATCACATCTGAAAGCAAACTGGCAACCAACGTAGCTCCTGAAGCAGAGGTATTGCATGGGCATATCGAGGCATGCCCATCACTGCTCATTCTGGACCAGTTGAAGATTCCAGGTGGTCTTCAAGAGTACCCCATGTAGAGCGTATTGCAGTAGTCACGTCCTGAGGTGATCCCCCCCAATCTACGAAAGGGCACAACTGGCACACCAGATATAGTTGTGCAAAGGCCTCCTTCACTGCAGCTGCCACTTGCTCATTGAGCAGGAGCTTTGAGTCCAGGAAAACCCCCAAGTTGCACCTGCAAGTGCCCCCAAGTGCAACCCCATCCAAGGTCAGAGATGAAGTATCACCATTATCCGGGTGGCCCAAACACCCATTCAGTCTTAGGTAGGATTGAGTCAGGAGCCAGAGAAGTTTCTTCCCCATCCAAACCTGCACAGCCTCCAGGCACTGGAGTAGAACTTCAACAGCCTCCCTTGACCAGCCCAGAGCTGAAGGTATAATTGGGTATATCAGTGTAAAGGTAGCCCTTGATTAATAATAACCACTCGTTCAGCTACTGTTGGAAGTTAGGACAGCACTGAATGAGTGGTACTTATGACCAGTCCTTGAAGTTCCAGCCATCCCAGCACCCCCGCAGTCATGTGATCGCGATCTGAGTGCTTGACAATTGGCTCGCACTTATGACGGTTGCAGCATCCTGCATCATGTGATCGCCATTTGTGATCTTCCCCGCTGGCTTCCCACAAGCAAAGTCAATGAGGAATTCAACAGGGAAGATTGCAAGTTGCTCTGTAAGTTGCTCGCACTCTAGTGGCTTTTCCCCTGAGGAGCCTAGCTATGGTAACAGAACCCCCCTGCCCACAGTGGCCACCTGCACAGACACCCCCGCCTTGACAGACAGCTCCACACACTTCCACGCACTCCCCCACATGGCAGCAACCACTTCCACCGCACGGGTGCCATGCTGGCCTCCCTTGCACACCTGGCAGCAGACACCCCTGGCCCTGCCGTGCTCACACCCACACCCCCTTGCGCTGCATTCACCACTTGGCCATAGCTGGCCCCACTGCACTCATACCCCGCCACACTGGCCTCTCGCACACTCCTCCGCCTAGCTGCAGCCACTTGTCTGCCCACCGGCCTGCTTGCGAGCCGCCTGGCACCTGTGACTTTCTGCCAGCTTTCTCATTGACTTTGCTTGTTGGAACTCGGCAGGAAGTTGCGAGGAGATCCTCACTTAAGGACAGCAATGGGGAATGCCGAGATTGCTGTTGTGAAGTGATGCAATCACGTGATGCTTTACGATCACATTGCTTAGTGATGGAAATTCCAGTCCCAATTGCTATCGTAACCAGAGGACTACCTGTACTGAAGATACCGAACCCCAAACTGGAGGATGACCTCACCCAAGTTTCATATAGATGTTGGAAAGGAAGAGAGAGAATGGAACTGTGCGGCACCCCACACAGGAAGGGCCTAGGGCAGTGTTGTCCAAACGTGGCCACTTTAAGATGAGTGCACTTCAACTCCCAGAATGGCTGGCTGGGGGGTTCTTGGAGTTGAAGTCCACTCATCTTAAAGTGGCCACGTTTGGACAACACTGGCCTAGGGAGTCACCTCTCGCCAACACCGACTGGAACCAGCTCTGAAGAAAGGAAGAGAACCGCTGTAAAATGGTGCCCTCAAATCCCTAAC